GATGTAATTTAAAAAAAAAAAAGAAGCACAGGAGATATTCAAATTTAGTTATTCAGGTAAATAAATTAGAAATATAACTCAAATTTTTATTTTTCGGATATATTTTTCCAAGGGAAAAAAAACCCCCTCCGGTGGGGGATTGCAATATCAGGCGGTGTTTCGTTCGTTTCTTACTTTCTTAGGGGTTAAACTAAAAACAGTAGCCAGTCTGTTAATTTGATGGCCACGCAATCTCTTTGTTTAAGGAACCAAACGTGTCAGTCGATCTACAGATATATTATTAATTAATCATTAATTAATACTCCTCCGGTTCTTAATATAAAACCTAATTATTTAGTTGATTTTGATCCTAAATGTAAGACCTATTTCTCATATTTATTAATGTTTCCTAAATTACTCCTATAGATACTCTTGCAATCATAATCAAGTAGAAGAGGGAATGAGATATTAAAAAAGATGATTATGGTGTTTTAGTAAAAAACATGTTATATTTCTTATAATTAACTAACTTACCTAACTTTCTTAATCTAATCAAATTAGTTAAATAGGCTTTGTATTAAGGATCGGAAGAGTATTAATAAAAACACTTGTCAAACCATTTTGACAAACACAAACTAGGTAAAAATTGAACACAATATCAACCAGGCCTTGTTCTATATATATAAATGAATGCTATAAGAAAACACGAAGAAATTTCTGAAATTAATTTTGTGCATGACACGAAATAAATTTCAAATGCGCATCATATAATATGTTTTGGCCGTCCCCATTTCGTACGGCAAGTTCGACTTAGATGCGACAGAACCATAGTCGAAATAGCATGGAGGGTCAGTCAAATTCATGAGGTCAACCTCAGACGGGGAAAAAAACAAGAAGAACATCAAAGATAGACGACACTAATTCCCCAACTCTTCAAGAACAACCCAACATGTCCAACTTTACCGTCACAAGGTAATGTCCATGTTCTCTCACACGCACTTATATATATATATAGATATGGAAGTTGTGTGTGTTGATGTTGAAGACGATGGGAATGAGAGGAGGGAGTAATAAGCTGAAGGCAATGAAATGGATGGGTTGGAATTATAAGGGATTGGTAGGGTCAAAAATGGGAAGAAAAGGTTACGTACCAGTGAGGGTTGGAATGGACGAAGAAAGCAGTCGGAGATTTGTGGTTCATAGGAAGGTTCTCAGCGACGAGCGTTTCTGTGAGCTGCTCTTTAAATCAGCTGAGGAATTAGGGTTTCGCAATGAAGGAGTTCTCAGAATCATATATGAACCATGCGATTTTGAACGCTGCATCCTCAATTCTTCCAATTACAAGCCTACCAGAATCGGTAATGTGAGACGAAAGTATCATCATTTCCTCCGTAAATTCAGACTCCTCAACTTCATGTTTAGTTAGTGTCGTTCCTCTTTCTTTTCTGATTCATCTCTTTCCCGTCGCAGCCAGCCGTATTTTCATCGTGACTTGACCTGGATTTCTATTATATTCTTATTGCAAATGGATTTCATAAATTGTTAGTGTGTGTATCTTTATCAGGCACAGATTCAGACTTCAGAGCTGTCATTTCTTTATATTATTTCTTACTTGATTAGCTTGCTCTTCCAGATAAATTTTGTTATGCTGTTTCATTTATATGTATATTATTTGGTCCAAGTTTTACTCTATTAATTCTCCCTCATTCTAGACTTTGATCGTGTTGATTTTCAAGTTTAAAATTATGCCAAAATTAACTGAATGAAGAATTAACATAACGTAAAATCAATAACAAATCGCAAAATTCTGTAAATACTAAATACTACGAGTCCGAGAAAATCATGCTTAATTCGGATTTTTAGAAATTCGATGAAACCAAAGCTGCTTATGCAATTAGGATAAGCTCTAATCACAATGGGTTTTCTTGCAAGTTCATGTGGGTGAAGAGAGGGGGCCTAGGCCCAAGCATGACATTTGGTCTGACCTCAAGGAAACTATCTTTCCACTGGCCCACTATTAACCTTTTTGGGTACAAGGCCCACTAATAATCTTGGACTCGTCCTCAGTGCATTTTGTGTATATATATATTGTTGAACACTGCAGGTCCCATCAACAGGTAATCAATTTTGTATTCTTTGTTACCCGAGTTCTTATTTTCTTTTGAAAAATTAAAAAACCTTTCGGATATTAAAGTTAAATTCTCTTCACTGAGTATATAATAAAATATATCTCAAATAGAAGAAAAATTGAAATTGACTTTATATGCAGTCGACTGCTCTTTCTTTGCTCTCTCTCTCTCCCCCCGCCTCCCTTCCACCTGTGTATTTAATATGTATTCACTTTAAACTAAAACTAAAAATTAAATACGCGATCGCAATCTCCATCAACGTTTGTCTTCTCATAGATATGACCACGTCACACCAACCATATAAACTTACAAGTTACAATTCAAACTGCGGGCGAGGCCCCAGGTTTTTTCCATACCAAACTATAATACTGCTGTATTTCTATCATATTAGAACAATTCTGCTCCCAGCTTTTGAATATTTGTTTTAAAAAAATTTTCTTAAATTATTAAAATCATTATGGGGACGTTGTGGATATTAACTTTAAATATTAAAAAAACCTAACCACCGAATCTTATCTCACGAATCACGAGCTGATGAGAGGACCAACTTGACTGATATGTTTTCAGTTTTTTTTAAAAAACATAAAATTATGGAATAATTATTCCCCGAAAGATTAAAGAGTTTTCAAAATTAATCTCAAAGAGAGCTTTTCACAGTGCTCCTTCCTCGAAAATTTTCAGACTTTTATAAAGGCGAGTCATTTGTAAACAACAATATTAAATTTAATATTTACTCCAAAAATTCAGTGGAAAAGAAAAAGAAAAAATCCCAAAAAAATGACTGTTAAATTTTAAAATTTTAAATCAGTATTAGTTACTATACTCGTAAAAAAAATATATTTGAAAAGTAACTAACAAGATATTTTTATCATAATTCCTGATTTGAAATTTTAAAACTCAACAATCATTTTTTTAAGGAATTTTTCTTTTTAAAAAAAACCCTATCCGTTGTTATTGACTTATATATTTCCCTTAATTTTCCTTCTGATTGCCACTTGGTATTACGTGCAGAAGTACAGTTATGTACGGATAATATACTAGCTAGTCCCATACATCTGAATATTGATTATGATTAATAAATTAAATAATCACGTGTGCAGTTTTAAATGAATGAAGTGGGCAACAATTAGTAGTGGATTAAATAATAATTGTTGGTCCACATATAATCTAAATCAAAATGTCTTGGCAGAAACAACACTAAAATTGATGACGTCTCATTAGTGGTGCCTTTCATTCCTAACCACAAATCCATTTGTTTTGTCTACTAAGTAATTTCTTCATATGATTATAGGACTGCTAAATCTTATCATGCCAAAAATTTAAGTGATAATATAACCTTGCACGTCTGCTGCGCCTGAGGAGCATCTAATGAAAACGTAGGGATAATTCGATCGGACCAAAAACAATGGAATGATGTATATAAGCTCCACATTTCTACTTTTACTTTAAAATTTAATTAAAACAATCTCTTTAGTAGTTATATATTGTATAGTAAATCTAATTTTATTTTATGTGATTTTTTTTTTACATGTTCATGCCTTAAGATCAAACTCACTCGCAGTTGACATGCCAATATTGCCTATGTGCAATACAAAATTGTTACCATGGCCGTTTAGCCTTATAATTTCAAAAAGTAATTATATTTTACTCAAAATGATGTACTCATATCGGATGTTGGCTAGAAGAAAATTGTAGTTCAAAATATAAGATGTTGTAAGGATAATTAACGTGATCTTCTCACCCATATTAGATACTATCTCCAGTCTTTAATATAAGAGCTAGTTGATTAATTTGAGTAAATTAAGAAAGCTTGTTAAGTTAGTCATTTGTAATAAATATGTATTGTTTTTCTTAGAATACCTTTATTAATCATGTGTATTAGCTAAAATTATTATTCGATGACATCTTTAATATATGTAACTATTCCAAGGACTATTTAAAAAAAAAAAAGATAAATATGAGAGGCAAAGTGAATTGAGATTTTATATTAAGGATCAAATTGAAAGTCAAATTAACTTTTATATTAAAAATCAGAAGCTAGTATGCATAAGAGAGAGAGAGAGAGAGAGGAAGGAGGTGAGAGGTAATAAAAGTGTAATACTAAAAGGAAGTACTTCGTCATTTTTCAGGGGTAAAATAGGAAAAATTCTATCATTTTAAGAAAGCGAGAAAAACTAACAAATTTCTTATATTATGGACTGGAGGGAGCATTTAATTAATTATGAACCACGACTGAATTGGTTCGTAAATAAGAAAATTTATTTTCATTGAAATATAAATCACTGGAATACTCAGTTATTAAATTATAAAATCGTATGATATATGTATTTGTATACACAACGTAAAAGATCATTGCGTCACAAAACGTATTTATTTAGCGGCATAAAGAGGCAGAATCTTTTGAGAATTTTGACCGCAGAATCTTCTTTTTAGTTGTTTGGGTTTAAACGTAATGATGATGATGTTTAGTAAAAAAGAAGACTCAGGTTTAAAAAAAGGCAGATTAAAGACAAACAATCATTAGAAATATCGACGACGTACGCTGGTCTCCTTCCCGGAAATGGACTCAGCATCTGGCATCAGCATATAGACGCCCATCTCATGCTTATTACACTCACATTTGTTGTATTAAAATTACAAAGTTTAAATTTAAAGATATTTTATTCTTACATTTTAATTTTTAATATATATATTAATCTAAAAACTGTAATTATTACTTGAAAATTTAAGAGTTACAAATTTTAAATTTAAAGGGTCTGGATAAGTACTGCGCAGGAGAGGTCCTGTACCGAATTTTATGACCACATACATCAATAGGTTACATTATATCGTTGACAAAGAAATGCAGGAAGCAAGCTAAATCCATAAAAGAAATCGAAATTTAAAATACTAATTTGATGATTGCATTAATCTTCCTTTTTCAATGAACGACGAGACCAAACACAATAATTGCCTTCCACCTCAATCACTTTCATTAAAAAAAAAAAAATTCATATATATTGGTGTTGGTGAACATACAATATAATTACTACCACATAATAAAGAGTAACTCTCTAATTACAATTTCTCGGACCGAATCATCATCGACCAGTGAAAAATGGGCTCCGATTTATACACAGTAAATGAATCCTCACTTCGTCCACCATGATGCATTATTTCGTCGAAGACGCTGTAAGAATCCACAAAATTACCCAAAACCACCATTTTTTTCCTCCTTTTTTTTTTTTTCTCTAGTAATAACAAGCACCCTACCTATAATCTGAACATAATACGCACGTAATGAATCAGAGAATAATTAAAAGTGATGGATCTCTGTATGTGAATCAGCATGCGCAGGTGTAGAGCTCAGCCAGCTCGTGCATGGACCCCATTTGCGTCTCGGCGTTTTCAAGCATCCACAGCAAGTGCTCGAACAGCACCACCTCACACGCAACCACCACCGCACCGCCGTCTTCCTCCGACTCCGACGCCGACCGATCCACCAGCTCCTGAAAAACAGGGTGCTCCAGGACGTCGGAGCTTACGAGGTAGCGTCGTCGCGACTTCCCAACGTAGACCGCATGGAGCGATTGTTCTGCTTGATTATGATCCGCGGAGAGGCTGTGATGAAGTTGGTCGTGGCTTGTGGAGGAGCGACCGCCGCCGCTGCCGAGCCTGGGGAAGGAGGGCCAGCGCTTGATGGCGGACTTGAGCTTCGTAAGCTTTCCGAGTTTGGCCATGGGAGAGTAGTTTTGTGATGAGAGAAAGCGAAGGGAGGGCTTGGGGGATTATAAAGGGAGAAGACCAGGGAAGAGGGAAGGACAAGAGAGGGGGCCCACTGTACAATGGAACAGCTAAGAATGAGATGGTTGGGGCATACCATGCACAGGCCCAGTTGCTACTCCTTTTGTTTGCTTTTGATCTTTTCTGGGCTTTGGGATTTGCTTCCGATTTTACTGTCTTACCCTTCCCGCTTTGTCTCTTTCTAAATTCATCTCTCAAGTCTCACCACAATGCTTGCTTCTTCCTCCTCTATTCTTTTTTTCATGTTATTTAAATATTAAGGATTGTGAATGGAAATTAGCCTTGTTTTGAAATAGAAATTGTCACCTTATTTTTATTATTATACTACAATATTATTCATTTCAAAGGCGACAATTAATTCAGAATTTCAACGATTTAAAGGTTGTAAATGAAATTAAACATGTAAGCTCTCATTTATGAGAGAATTTTCAGTCTCTTAACCTACAAGATTATGAGTGACTGACATGTGTTACTACTGCTAAAATGAAGAAAAAGAAATCTCAAGAGCTTGTAATGTGGAAGCTGGATAAATAAATAATGGATTAGGTATAAATGTTGGTGTTATATATATATATATATATATTTTTTTTTTTTGTGGGTGAGTTTGCTAATAATAAAAGCAGAATATATAATGAGAGGCCAACAAAATGAAGGTGTTGGTTGGCATGCAAGCCTAACCCACGTCTCCTGATCTGTTATTCTAAGTGTGTGTGTATAACTATATATATGTATGTACTGTACTTATATTCTTTTTATTTTTTATTTAAAAGGAAGAAGAAGAAGGAAGGCAAGGGGAAGTGGGTTTTGTTGATGGGAAAGAAGACACATTTGTCGTGTACAGGGTTTGATTATGGGACAGAGGGGTCATTAAAACTTCTGCCTTTCTAGCTCAGCAGATGGGTCCCCCTGTCCTTGCTCTCCCCCCCCCCCCCAACGCCCCTCACGAGCTACTTCTCCATTTCTGCACTTTGTCTTCTTCTCTCCTCTATGTCCAAACGCTCCACCCACTTCCACCCGTGTTTATATCTTTAATACTATTTTTTTTATTCTTAATATAAAAATTAATTGAGAGTTAAATTTTTCATAAATATAAAATTTCAATCTATTTTATGTTTTATTTTAAAAAAAATATTCTTGTTAATTGTAAGGGGTTCTTACTAAGGGATAATTTTAATCATCCAGTGCATATAATTAAAAATAATAATTTAATATATCAACACACATTTGTGATAAATAACTAATTTAACTAGTTTTCTTAGTATCATCAAATTAGTTAACTAGTTTAACTGCTCATGTATTAATATTGATGACTTTGTTTCAATTATTTAATTTACTTAGTGTAAAAATCGGGGAAAAAGTTTATGAATTCCGGCAATCCCCCGTTTGTAGTTTGTATTTGTCAAGGTATTCCTATCCCAAAACGTACATACATTACATAGGCATATGAGTCGCAACGCATATATAACTTGAAATTTGGGCCTATATGAAGGGAAAAAAATTGTTATCTTGCGCAATGGAAAAGAAATTTATTACTATGTGATCATAATAAAATATGAAATGGTTGCTTGCAAATGGCACCCAGATGCAAGCGGCAGCCATTGTGTGGTATAATTTATTAATCATTAGTAATTACAATCGCTAAACTTTACCTCACACATTGATGATTTGACCGCATTTTCCAATTTCCAAGGGGACTCGCAGCATACTACACTTAATATAAATCACCTGTAATATACTACCTACTTTTAGTTTTTAATATAAGACATTATTTGATTTTTATTTTAATTCTAATTACAAGAATCTAATATATTTTATCTTTTATATTTATATATTTTTTCTCAAGATAGTCCCTCTAATAATAGTAATTCTAACCAATAAACTTGATTAGTAAGGATATTTTAGAAAAGACAACACATGTTTATTACAAATAACTAATTTAACTTATTTTCTTAATCTGCTCATGTTAGTTAAATAGCTCTTATAATTAGGACCGAAGATAGTATTTTCACATATCAAAGAATACATTAAATTAATAAAAAAAATTTAATTTTACTCTTGTTAAAATTTTTTCTCTACATTTACAAATTATTCTCATATCTCTTCCTTCCTTCTTTGTTTGGAATGAAAATTAAATAAAATTAAAATTAAAAAATAAACATTAAATATGTCACAAGTAATCTATATTTATGACTAAAACTTTTTCCTACCAGTGACTTACGTCTAGGACTAGTATAATAAATTTATTGTAATTACCAAAAATTAGACGCAAAATGAAATGTTGGCATGTATGAAAGAGACGAGATGAGTGAAGAGAAGGAGCAGGATAATTAGGATATAGGAAGGGAGGGGGCAAGAGCAGCACTTATGCCGATGCCATGTCTGTGGTCCAACCCACCACACCGCACACTATGACTTCATCGCACCACAATAACACCAAATTCATGTCTCCTTTGGTGTAAAGCGACCCCCTTCTTCTAATTTTGCCCTTCCTTCCCCACCCCTTCTTTCTTCAGAGCCCATTTTAATACGAGACTCAGTTAACTTATTTAGATATATTTGAAAAAAAGATAATAACTTACCTTGTGATCAGTTTGGTATGAGGGAAAAGGATAGGAGGAAAAGTGAGAGAAGAAAAAATTTTAATAAACTCAATTTAAAAAATTAAAAAATTACTCTTTTATCTTATTTTTTATTAAAATTTTAAAACACTACTTTTCTAATTTTTTAAATCGAGCTCATTAAATTTTTTGTTCTCTCCCTTCATTTTCCTCATACCAAATATAGGATTAAAGTATTTATATATTTTTTTTCAAACTAATTTGTCATTATTTTAAATTGATATATAATCTAATGATACATATAAATATTTTAAAATAATTATATAACATATGTTATAATTAAATAATTTAGTAATTTTTTTTAAACTATGTAAATTAATTAAGTAATTTTTATATTAAAATGACTATTTTGTTTTCGGTGTCGACAGGTCAAATTAGAATCTTATTGGGGCTCTCAACGTCGATATCAATGAAATGTCATCCCCCGACTAACGGATATTAATGTTGACCTTTTAACTCCATATTGACTTCGGGTCTAAAAGCACTTTCAATTTTGCCTCTTGACGTCGTGGTACTCTTGGACGTTCTCATCGAAAGACGTGGCATGTTATAGATAAGTTGTGACTTGTTAACCAAAAATGAAAGGAACAATTTCCTCTTCAAAGGAAAAATTCAGTTGAATGCAAAAAAAGAAGTGTGGGGAATATGATGGTGAATATGTGATGGGGATTGATGGCAGTAAGAGCAACTGGGAGAGGCAGGATAGGACGATCGGTGTATGGATGAGACGGGAGGGGTGAAGTGAGGCCAAGTGTGTACAACCAATGGGCCAACATGGGCCTGTGGTTTTTGTGAAATTGTGTGCTGTGCCGGTGCGTAATTTGTCATAAGAATGAAATTATCGGCTTTACCAACAAAATTGATCTAATAGAAAGTGTTAGTCTCTCACAACATGACGAATCAAGATTCGAATTCTTATTAGGAGAGGTGGTTACATTTAGTGTTCGACAATATCTCGGATAAGATTACTTTCAATAGAAAGATACTTGTGTTTTAGCAAAAAAAAAAAATTATTAGCTTTAAAAATGAATAATGGGTTCGCCAACACTTAAGGAGTGTTTGGTAACATGAAAAAAATATTATTCGGAAAAATGAGGTAAATTTTTTTACATATTTATTTTTTGTATTGTAAAAATATTTTTAAAATTATGATTTGGTTTTCATCTAAATACACCCCTTAGTCCAAAAAGAAAAAAAATAATGGGAAAAATATTATACAAGAGAAAACTCTCAAAAATAATAAATTTTTGGTGGTCTAACACCTGTTGTGAAAACATGCAATGTGTGTCAAATAAAGTCCCACATGAGAAAAATGAGAAGAAGACTAAGTGTATAAATGAGATTAAGCATCATTGAGGGGGTAAATGGGCCAAGAGAAAAGTGGGCCTCGCGCACACAACAACGGGCCACCAGAAGGGAAATGCAGTTGAAAACTGGCGATTTCCCCCCTGCGCGTGAATTAGATGTGGCAACGCCTCATTTTACGAAAATTATTTTAAACTTTTGTTAAATTTTTTAAATAAAATTTTGCTTACCGGAAAAGTCTTATTTTGGACTTGTTAAAAATAAAAAGGGTTGCTGTCTTGTTTTGTGGCCGACCGGACGCGTCTCATGGGGTGTGACCGAACGTTGTGTGCACCAACGTTCGTGTTGTTCCGTCTCCAACGGAACCTTGCGTTGTTTCCGTCATACCCATTCGACGAAACAGAGGGATGCGTCTTCCGGTGATGTGGCCATTCGCATCTATATAAGGGATGGTTCAGAAAGCGTGAGGGCAGATTGTGCTCGTCTTCTTCCTCTTCTCTGTTCCCTGCGTTACAAACTCTTTCGCTGTTCTGCCGCCTTGCTTCGCAAGAGGGATTCGTTTGATCCTGGGAAGTGCCGCTTCCTGTTGTGTCGAGGGGTTGCGGAATATCTCTCAAGGACAGTGTCCTTGCGACGCAACTCGAACTGGATTTTGATGTTCCTCCTTTGCTGCTGCCAATAACACCATTGTTGGTCATTTGGTCAAATTTTGGTTTTAATCTTTGTATTGGCTTTGGTTCTTATAATTTTATAAAGATTTGGTGTGAGTTTAACAAATGATTTTTATGCTTAAACTCACAAGTAGCCCTCATGAAAGTATAATGATCAAAACTAACGATTTGAAATAAGAGGAATCAAAATCAAAATTCGATAAAACTGTAAGGGCCAACAATAATATTAACCCTAAATAATTTTTTCCAATTTTTTTTTTTAATATTCTCCTTCCCTGTTTTTCCCCATTTTTCTCTCCATCTAGATGAAGGCTAAATTTGGCAGTAGAAGTAGTAGGGCCA